TGGAAAACCTAAGTGTTGAATAGGAGGTCAGGCAAAGGGGCCCCCATCCCCAACCCTCCCACTTCTCTCCCAACCACTTTCTTTTCTGTCAGGCTTACCACAACCCCCCTCATACACTCTTCTTGGCCCGTTACTTTCAGAAGTTGCCCTTCTTGGCCCGTTACTTTCAGAAGTTGCCCCCTAAAGGGCTTAATCACCGCCCCCCCTCATCTACTCATTCTCAGGACCGAGACTAGGAACCTTCTCCAGTGAACCTAGAAGCGGTGGCTGCAAGAACGAACGCGAGAGTCAGTGATAGCGAGGAACAGTCATCAGGAACGATTCTTCAAAAAAGCCAGGAACTCTGGCAGACTAAGGATACTTTGAAGAAACGGCGGCGGGAGTCCGATGGAGTTCAATGTGCAGTGCTTGAACTGTGGGTGTGAACTAAGATGGGTTTATGTGATAGGGCAGTGCCACAGGCCTCAAAATGGGATGGTATTCACAGCTCAGGGGGTGATAATGACGATAATAATGATGATGCTGACAATAGTGAGATTGAGGTCAACAGTGATGATGAGGACAATCATGGTGATGTGAGTCACTGGAATCAGAAGACTGAGGATGGAGATAAGGAAGGTGATAATGAATCGTTGAAATCGGTGCAATCACCTCAACATGGTGATAGTGATCATGGGGATGATGGTGATGATGATGAGGATAATGCTGATCTGAATTGTTGGAATCAGAAGACTGGGGAGGAAGAAAGGGAATATGAGAACGCAGGTCTGGGAGCTGTGGGCGGTACAGTCGTCCATTGGGATAAGAAGAAAAGTGACGCCAAGAGAATGGATTTCAAAGATTCCAAGCACATGAAAGGCAGTGAGCAGAAGGAGGGTGAAGACAACAGTGTTTAAAAAGCTCGTAATGGGCAGGGTTGAAATCACACTTCTGATTATTCAACTTGTCATGTATGCAAACAGCGAAACAGCAACTGGCGACATGCGCCCACACAATACTCAAGATATCGTAACCAGATATGAGTTCTCTTCAACTGGCTATGGCGACTGGGCGCCCACACAACTCACTGTTCGCACTCTGGATCACCCTGGATGTCCCACACGCAACACTCAGTATCATACTTCACACACCACACATGCTAGGCTACAGCTATGGCAGCGCTAGCTGCCACTACCTATCGCTGCAGGGTAGGAGGCGGGGTAGGAGACGGGATTGGAGAATTCCCTGGTGCGGAGAGAGAACGTTGTGTGTGTGTGTGTGTGTGTGTGTGTGTGTGTGTGAGAGAGAGAGAGAGAGAGAGAGAGAGAGAGAGAGAGAGAGAGCATTGAGTCATCATTGAATCATTGATCACCATTGAACCAAGAGATCATTGAACCTTCGCTGAGGGGTCCCAGACCTCCATGAAAGTGTTATTGATAGAGTCAAAGGCAGTTGCCAAAAGGATATGCTTTCTCAGGTTATGTTGTTTATTATCTAGGGGCTAGTCTTCAGTTGTCAAGCTAATTGCAGAACTTATTGATCCTCGTAATTGGTTGCTACATGTCTGGGTACAGTGGTAGTGGGACTAGATGCTAACTCATTTTAGGCGCCTTAGGGTGAAGAGGTCCCTGTCTTTTGCTGATAGCCCAGAGAGTTTCTGAATTTTAAGAAGTCACCTGAGGATTTATCCGTTGGAAGGGACGCTGGACCCAGTTTCCAGTAGGTGCAACTCCCCACCAATAGAAAGGAGCCATCGGAACCACGCCGGCCTCTACCCTTTGGGGCTCGTACCACCCAAGGGGTAGAGGACCTGGCCCTGGACGATGATTGTGAAAAAAAAAAAAAAAAAAAAAAAAAGACAAGAACAAGAAAAAAAAAAGAAAAGTTCGAAGTTGGGCGTGAGGGGG